TTGTACGAATTGGCTGTCATATAGCTATGGAGGCTGGGAAGTCCCATTGTTTGCCATCTGTAAGCTGGACAGTCAGAAAAATCCAGTGGCGTGATTTAGTCCAAGTCCAAAGACTTGAGAACTGGGGTGAGAGGGCATGGCATAAATCTCCGTCTGAGTCCAAAACTCTGAGAATCAGAAGCACTCATGGCCAAACACAGGAGAAGATAGGTGTCTCAGCTTAATCAGAGAGTGAATGTGCCTCTCTTTTGCCGCTTTACTCTAGTCACTGAACAGTCTGATTTATGTCCACCTGCATTGAGACATAGATCCATTGAGAGGAATCTTCTTAACTCAATCTAGTGATTCAGATGCTAATGTCTCCTAGAAAACCTTCATAGACACACCCAAAAGAACATTTTACCAGTAATCTGAGTATCCCTTAACCCAATCAACTTGATATACAAAATGAAACATTATTTATATTTAGAAGAGGGGGGGATCAGAAAAATTCTTGAAAAATAAATGGCTGAAAATTTCCAAAAAAACACCTATAATTCCGAAGACCAAAGAAGCTCAACAGGAACCAAGTAACAAGAACACACACACACACACACACACACACACACACGATGATTATCATAATCTATATACAGGTAAAATGAAAACATTTTATAAAATGTTTAGTTTCTTGAGTAATCAACCGTAATCAAAAGAATAAACATGATTTATGGAGTTTATGACATATAAAAGTAAAATTTATAACAACGATAGCAAAGGATGATGGGAAGTAAGCATACTGCTACAAGGTTAATACATCACGCATGAAATGGCAGTGTGTTAATTGAGATGCATATCACAGTCCTTAAAGCAGATGTTTCTATAATAAATGTAGGCATGTCTAATAAACAAATAGTGGCAAAAACAAAATGCTTAAACATCAATTAATCTAAATAAAAACAGGAAAAAGAGGAAAAAAGGAAAGAATAGATGAGCCACAAACTTAGAAAATAATCTATACTTATTCTGTGGCTCATCTGTTCTTTCCTTTTTCCCCCCTTATTTTAAGCTTTTATAACCAAATAATCAGAAGAAAACCCATTCAACAAAAAGGGCAAAAGATATGAACAAGTGCTTCACAAAAGAGGATATGTGGGTGGCCAATGTGCATATGAAATGATGCACATTTTGAGTCTTCAACTTAAAACCAAAATGAAAAACCACTAAACACTTTACAAAATGACTGAAATGCAAAAGCATGACAATGCAAAGTGCTGGTGAGAATGTGGAGGAATTAGAATGCTAATGCATTGAATATGGAATGCAAATTGTACATCCTCAGAATAAAAATGCAGCAAATAAAGTTAAGCATACTTTTACCATATGATCCACCCCCCCAAAAAGCATATGTCCATCATATTCATATTAACTCCAAACTTTAAAAAAAGTCAGAAACAGGTAAATGGATAAATAAATTATTTAATCCATTCAATGGGATGCTTCTCAACCATAATAAGGAAGGGAATACTGACACACACCAAAATAAGAATAAATCATAGAAGTACTCTGCATTATATCATTGTTATGTACATTTAGAAACGACCAAAGTAATCTATTGTGGTACAAATCATATCAGTGGCTACTTGGGGACTGGTTTAGGGTAAGGATTTACTTCTAAGATGTATCAGAGAAAGTTTGGGATTATGGAAAATTTTGATATCTTCATTGTGGTGGTGGTGACAGTTTTACAGTTATGTATTTGTCTATGTTCAGAAAAATCTGATCTTAAAGTGCATTTTATTTTATATAAACCATATTCCAATAAAGTTTATTTTCAAATTTCTGGTATTTTCCTAAATGAATAAGCCATACATATGCATTTATAGACATATATATGGTGTATAATGTGTCTATAATATGTGTTATATATGTATATATTATAGATATGTGTTCATATTTAATATTTATTCTTTTGTTAATGCTCCTCTGGAAGGTCTTCCTAAAATGTTTATTTAAAATAGGTACAATTGCCAGGCATGGTGGCTTATGCCTGTAACTGCAGCTACTCAGGAGTCAGAGGCAGGAGGATTTCCAGAGACTAAAAGTTAGATGTTGTGGTGAGTTGCGATTGCATCAGAGCACTCAGCCTGGGCAACAGAGAGAGGCACCTGTTTCAAAATAAATAAATAAGTAAACAACAAATAAAATAGCTATAATTATTGAAAATTGGCTCCACATGTTTATAAAATTCTGTATCCTAAAAATACAATAAAACATTCATTTTCCCCTATCTGTGCTTTTATATATTATCAGTCATTTTAATTTTTAACTAGTCAGTAGAAAAAAATTTGTACTGTGATTCGATATCAGTATATTTTATTACTAGATAGAGTAAAAACCTTTGCATATAATTGTTGGCTATTCGCATCTTTTCCTTTTGTAAATTGTATGTATTATAGAGTTTTTTAAAACTTTTATGTTATGCTCGGGGGTACAAATGCAGGTTTGTTACATAGGTAAATTTGTGTCACGGGGGTTTGTAGTACAGATTATTTTATCACCCAGGTATTAAGCCTAGTACCCATTACTTATTTTTCCTGGTCCTCTTTCTTCTCCCACCTTCCACCTTCCAAAAGGTCCCAGTGTGTGTTGTTCCCCTTTTAAAAATAGCTGATACATAATAATTAACTTTTTACAATCCAGGATTTTCTTTTAGTCTTGTGTAATTGACTTTTGCAATCGAGGAAAGAGTATTTTTATAAAATAAAGTCAATTAACAACTTACAGTAATTGGATTTTACATTTTCAGTAGGCAGGTCACTCCTAGAATTTTAGCAATGTTAATATTTATTTTCTCATATTTAGATATTTATTACCCCTGAAAATCATGGTTGTTACTGGAAGAAAAAAATATTTTTTCACACACACACGAACATATACATAAACACACACACACACATGTATACACACTTTCTCAAAATGCCGGATAGTTCTTATATTATTTACCAAACTGTCCATCTTTTTTTCCCCTGGAATTTCTATATTAATTAATTTAATTTTCTGTCCTATGATAGTGCCATAGTTTTAAATATCTCATTTCATTTCACTGTTTCAGTTTTTAATTCATTCCTAATATGCATATAGTAAAGGGCACTAATCTTACATATACAGCTTAATGGATTTTTATATATGTATACACCCATATAACCATTAACTAGATCAAAATACAAAACATTTCCTCCACCCAGAAGATTCCACTGTGCTCTTTCTTATCCAATACCCTCCTGCCCAGAGGTACCGCTATTCTCACTTTTATTACTGATTAGTTTGTTCTTTTTTTGAACTTCCCATAACTCTAAATAGATAACAACATACGATGTGTATATTTAGTACCAATATGCATGTTGTATCATTTTTGATATATAATGTTTTATTGATTTTTAAATCTGGTGTTCCAAACTGCCACAATGAATGCATTGATACCCATTTGCACAATAAGTTAATAATTATGAAATACTATACAAAGTATAGTGGCCTCCATCAGTCTTGATACAAGAGCACTAACTTGTATCAAGAATTGTGTACAGGAATAAACACAGATTTTCAATCCTGCACAATTTCACCAAGAATCTTTCAGTTTTACCTTTCTAAAAGTTGATTTAATTTAGCATGACTGCAATAGAAATTAAAATGTTTAACATTTAAGTTTGCTAATCCATTAAATGGGATAATTTATGCAAATAATGAGCAGAGGCCCAACCTATATCTTAGTTAAAATGGAATCGCTTCCCTCTTATTTTCTTTTTTTTTAACCAGGGGAATGATCACTAACTTCTCTGTCCAGTCACTGGTTGGGCAGGTCGGGTTGGAACTGCTAATGGACTGACTTTTTCACCCCAGGAAGGAAGGAATGGACAGTAATACAGTGTTTTTACTTCTGTTTGCTTTCAGAAAGCCTGCACTTGGGGGCCGGGGAGATACTTCACTCGACTCATATTGATCTACAAAGTGTGATCCCTACGTTGATCATTGGTAGTTGTGCTACATTTAAGAGTAGCAAATGAATGAATATGTACTATTATTTGTTTATATTTTATTCTCATTGCTTTATCATAATTAATGACTCATAATTCATTAATAATATTTAATAAGTGGATGGAATAAACATGATAAATTATCACAGGGAGCTTCACAGAAAGTCAACTCTCATAATTAAGGCTATCACCAGAATACATTTGGGCCAGAAATGTGGTTTTCAAGATGTTATTCTATCCAAGTCACCACTTTAAAAAATAGTAGCAGGAATTCTGCTAGAAGATGATCAGAGTTAGGAGAACTCAAAAGAGTCATTTAGACCTACAAATGAGGTAATCTCTGCTGTGGAAACACAGGATTATCAGGCGTACCAATCAGCTTCATATAGAGGATTCTCATCTACAAGAGTGAGTGAAAAGAGGTCAGAGTACCCAATGCAGGGCTGGAGTTATATCAGTACAGAAGCACATGTTTAAATGTAGACTATTAGGAGACAGAAAATTGCAATGGAAAATAGCTTGGTGGGTAATAGTGCTACTGGTTTTGCCAATTACCTAGGTCAAACATTGAATTTTTCTAAAATGAAACTTGCATTAGATCAATATAGAGGACAGTATTCTTGAACCTGCACTTGAAAATACTTTTATACAAACATTGTTGGAAAAACATCAGTCATGCCTTGCCTGTTTTGTCACATCACTAACTAAAATAGCCACAGGTAGCAATTTCACTCTATTTCTCCCTTTTTCTCTCTCTCTTTCACACACACACACACACACACACACAGTTACATAAATGATAAAGAGAAATGCATACATGTGATAAGCAATACATATTGTGAAAGTGATTATATTTATTAAAATGTAAATTTATAAGTTTTCCTGCATGGAAATTGTTAATATTATAATGGATATAAACAAACACATAAAAGTAACAAAACATCAAAGGATTTTCCTATAACCGGTGGGAAATTTCACCAATCCAATGCAAATATGACCTCTGGTAATCAATAATTAGATTTAGTTAACATTGGACAGACAATAATTAATCCATAAACAACCCTGTTGATGCAATTAGTGCATTACAAGAAAATGACTCAAAGTGACTGGCAATTGGAATTTCTTTGTAGGAGCCAGTAGGAACCTTCCATAGGAGCTTGGAAAGTTGCAGGCATAACCAGAGTCACCATATTCAGAGCCATAGCTGCAGCCATAGTCCAGGCTACCATAATAGTTGTGGTAGTAGCACATGGTGTCAGAAGTTGGAAGTTCAATTGAGCAGACAGTAGTTTCTGAAATTTGACTCCCCTGATTTGCACAAATTATTTTATCCAACCTGAGTTATATGTGAAGCAAACCACAATCTACATTAGACTCATTCTCACAACTAATTTGCATTAAGAAAAAAAAAATCTCAAGAATCTCTTAGCCATATGTCCAAGAAAATATTAATATTTCTATGTGTCAGGATGCTAACAAGTAAAATCATGAGCCTTAAGGAGATATTCTCTTAATTTTGTGGCTTTTGCTTACTGAAAATCCCAACTTAAACTTGATAATTAGCTTCCGCGTGATCACATAAAGCTTGTATTTCCTGCCTCTTGAAACATTTCTTTTTTCTTTTCCAATATCCTCCTCTACCTCCATAAATGCAGTCTTCAAACCACAGAGTGGCCAGGCCCAGGCCTCCATAGCCACAGCCACAGAAGGAGCCATAGCCTTCTGTGGCAACCTTAGGGAAGATTGGCTATGTAGTGAGGAAGCTGATGAAAATGTCTAGATTTACTTGCAAATATGTCTGTATGTTTTGATTAATTTATTTCTTAATCAATAGGACTAAAAATTTTCTTCCAAGTTCATACTTAGTTTATGTTCTGGGAGTAGTAAAGTTTTTCCTCTTCCATCATCCTCACTTTGGTTATATTAGTAGTTGAGGTGTTCTCTTTGCATCTGAGAAGGCAATTACAAACAATTACCCACTGTGTCTCAATATTCATGTTTTCCTCTCCTGACATAATATTCACATATTTTAACTTCTTTTTATATTGAATGAATTTGCTTATTTTAAAATATATTAATTCCAAATTTCCAAAAGTATTGTAAAGATACTTTTCATCTTCTAGCCGAATTCCTGTTACTATTTTTTAAAGTGGTGACTTGGATAGAATAACATCTTGAAAACCACATTTCTGACCCAAATGCATTCTAGTGATAGCCTTAATTATGAGAGTTGACTTTCTATGAAGCTCCCTGTGATAATTTATCATGTCTATTCCATCTACTTATTAAATATTATTAATGAATTATGAGTCATTAATTATGATAAAGCAATGAGAATAAAATATAAACAAATAATAGTAGATATTCATTCATTTGCTACTCTTAAATGTAGCAGAACTACCAATGATCAACATAGGGATCACACTTTGTAGATCAATATGAGACTAGCGAAGTATCGTATCAATAAGAGGCAAGTAGAGCATATAGTCAGAGCTGCGGAACTGCACACAGTAGTTCATAAACTTTAGTGGATATATACCACCACCTTAACAATTAGAAAACGCATGGATTCTCAAACCAGAAAAAAAAATCACTGTGATAAATTTCTCCACTGGTTTGCATATGATCCAAAAGGATCCCAGAGTACATGAATTTATCCCCAGTTACCCCAAGCATAGAACAAAGATGGTGATTATTCAACACAGAATTTGAGTATAGAAAGTTGCATCACGTCATTCATTTGGTTATTTTTTCACTAATTCATCAAATCTTTATTAAGAATCTGCTGTGTCAGGCACTGTTATAAGAAATGCAGATTGAGCAGATGAACAAAATAGGCAAAGTCTCCACTTTCTGGAGGTTACAACTGAGACAGAAGGGGTAGAGAGACTGATTTTAAAAATGAATGAAATAGATTCTAACAGTGAAGAATCCTGTGAGGATAATACAACTCAGTGAGTTACATTAAATTTAGTTACTGCAGGTAGACTAATTAATATAAGGTGGCCATTCTGGGAAGTTAACATTTCAATTGAAATAGAAACTGAGTCAAATATTCTTGGCATTATTCTAAGAAAGAGAAATCAGTAATTGCAGAGGCCAGGGCCTTATTGTGAGAAGAAACCTGCTGCATTTTAAAAGTCAAAAAGTCCGTGGAGTTTGAGCATTATAGATAAATGGAGGAGAGTAGTAGGATAGGAAATCAGAGAGATAAGTAAGGGCCAGAACTTCTCAGCACAATGAAAGGTCTTTAGAGATATTTTTGCAGGGGCATGCTATGTTCTGATTCACTGAGGCATATAAAAGGCCCTCTGCAGGGGAAATGTCGAATCTGAAGTCACCTACACTCCTTCCTACCCAAGGACAACCTCAGCAACCAACACCATGTGTGACAACTACTACAGAAATATGATGGCAGCCTTGGCTACGGGTGCTGTGGCTATGGAGGCCTGGGCTGTGGCTATGGCTCCTCCTGTGGCTGTGGCTATGGAGGCCTGGGCCATGGCTGTGGCTCCTTCTGTGGCTGTGGCTATGGAGGCCTGGGCCATGGGTATGGCTCCTTCTGTGGCTGTGGCTATGGAGACCTGGGCTGTGGTTCTGGCTCCGGCTCCTTCTGTGGCTGTGGCTCTGGAGGCCTGGGCCGTGGCTATGACTCCTTCTGTGGCTGTGGCTATGGAGGCCTGGACCATGGCTCTGGCTGTGGCTATGGCTCCTTCTGTGGCTGTGGCTATGGAGGCCTGGGCCGTGGCTGTGGCTCCTCCTCAGCTCTACTGTGGCTGTGGCTATGGAGGCCTCTGTGGCTGTGGCTATGGAGGCCTGGGCCGTGGCTGTGGCTCCTCCTGTGGCTGTGGCTATGGAGGCCTGGGCCGTGGCTGTGGCTGTGGCTATGGCTATGACTCCTGCTCCTTCTGTGGCTGTGGCTATAGATGCGGCTCTGGCTCTGGCTCCAGCTTTGGCCACTACTATTGAGGACACCATGGGAGACTCTCACCCTCTATCCTGTGACATTGGGATTCGCCAATTCTGAACCCCACATGCTCTGAGCCTTTCCCTTGATTGATGATATCCTGCCGTGGAAGTCTAATGTGATCTGTTGTTGACCTACCAGGTAACCCAAAAATACCCTGAGTTTCCATCATGAAGTGGGATAAGGTGAAGTTCACCTGTCACTTCTCCTTTTATCAGGATGATGGTGTCACAGTGACTCCTTTGATGACTTTCATGCTGCAGTTTGTTTCTCTGCTGACCTAATAAACACATTTAATCCACAAGAGAAAACTTGGTGTTTGTATCTATTATTTATTGTCCAAAATTTCCTTTTCTTTCATTTTTTCTTTTATCATTATTTTTTTCTACTCTTATTTTAGGTTCAAGGTTTATATGTGTATATTTGTTACATGGGTGAATTGCATGCCACTGAGGTAATATGTGAAAGGTAGTTTTTCAATCCTTACCACCCGCCACCATCCCCACTCCAACAATCCCAGTGTCTATTGCTTGCATGTTTATATACATGTGCACTCAAGTTTTAGCTCCCACTTATAAGTGAAAACCCGTGGCATTTGATTTTCTGTTCCTGCATTGATGTACTTGGGATAATCACTTTCAGCTGCACCCATGTTGCTGCAAAGAATATGATTTCACTCTTTCTTGTAGCTACGTAGTATTCCATGGTGCATATGAAACACATTGTCTTTCGTCAACTATTGATAGACATCTGAGTTGATTCCATCTCTTTGCTATTGTAAATAGCACAGCGATGAACAGACAAGTGCATGTGTCTTTTTGGTAGAACATTTTTTTTTCCTTTGGGTATATACCCAGTAATGGGATTGCTGGGTTGAATGATAGTTCTGCTTTAAGTTCTTTGAGAAATCTCCAGATGCTTTCCACAGTGACTGGACTAATTTATATTCCCATCAACAGTGTATAAGCATTCTCTTTTCTCCACAACCTCACCAGCATCTTTTCGTTTTTGACTTTTTTAATAATGTTTAGACTGGTCACTAACGTTATGCATTTTTTATATATTTGTTGGCTGATTTTATACAGCCTTGTGAGAAGTGCCTGCTCATGCCTTTTGCCCATGTTTTAAGGGGTTGTTTTTTGCTTGCTGACTTGTTTAGGATTCCAATAGATTCTGGATATTAGACTTTTGTTGGATGTAGTGTTTGTAAATAATTCCTCCCATTCTGTAGCTATGTGTTTACTCTGTTGAACGTTTCTTTTGCTGTGCAGAAGCGCTTTAGTTTAATTAGGTCCACTTCTGTCTTTGTTGCAATTGCTTTTGAGAACTTAGCCAAAAATTCTTTGCCAAAGCCTATGTCCAGAATCATATTTCCTAGGTTTTCTTCTAGGATTTTTATAGTTTAGGTCTCACATTTAGATCTTTAACCCATCTTGAGTTAATTTTTGCATATGGAGGAATGTAGGTCTCTAATTTAAATTTTCTGCTTATAGTTAGTCAGTTATCCCATCACCATTTATTGAATAGGGAGTCCTTTCCCCATTGCTTGTCATTATCAGCTTTGTCGGAGTTCAGATGGTTGTAGGTGTGTGGCTTTATTTCTGTGTTGTCTGTCCTATCACATTGGTCTATGCATCAGTTTTTATACCAGTATCATGCTGTTTTGGTTACTATAGCCTTCCAGCATAGTTTGAAGTTGGGTAATGTGATGCCTCTAGCTTGGTTCTTTTTCCTTAGAAAAGAAAGGAAAGGCTCTTATTTGATTCCACATAAATTTTCGAGTAGATTTTCCTTATTCTGTGAAAAATGATGTTAGTAGTTTTATAGAAGTGACATTGAATCTGTAGATTGCTTTTGGCAGTATGGACATATTAATGATACTGATTCTTCCCATACAAGAGCATGCAATGTTTTTTTCATTTGTTTGTATCATTTATGATTTCTTTCAGCAATATTTTGCAGGTATCATTTATGATTTCTTTCAGCAATATTTTGCAGAGATCTTTCACCTTCTTGGTTAAATGTGTTCCAAGATATTTTATTTTGTGTGAGTGGCTATTGTAAATAGGATTGCATCTTTGAACTGTCTCTCAGATGGAACATTTTCAGTATATAGAAACACTACCGACTTTTTGTGCATTCATTTTATACCCTGAAATTTTACTGAAGTCATTTGTAAGTTCTAGGTGGCTTTTGGTAGAGTCTTTAGGGATTTCTAGGCACAGAACCATATCTTTAAAGAAAAGAGATAATCTTACTCATTCTGTTCCTATTTGGATGCCTTTCATTTTTTTCTCTTGCCTAATTGCTCTGGCTAGGACTTCCAGTTCTGACAGTTTTTGGACTGACTTTGCAAGAAAAGTGAATTGTCCCCCTATAGAGATATTTTTTTCTTACTATTTCTAGGTTAGTTTCTTTTCAGGTCCAAAATAAATTGTCTGAGAAAAGTGACACAAATTTTGTAAACTTCAATTTCCTTCTCTTATTATTCCTTCCTTACTGAGGAATAATATTTGTGATGTGGATAAGTATCACCACTATATGCAATATTAGGTACAATTTAGGTTAAGTATTGTAAGGCACATGGTAAATAATAAAGAAAATAACTTCCACAATTTTTGTATTTATGATATCTCCAAAATAAATGAATGTT